CGCGATGCTGAGGACGCAATCGACGGCATGGAAGGACAGGAGTTCCAGGGCCGAGACTTGCGCGTGCAGTTCGCCAAGCAGCGCCGCCCTGACAACCCGCGGGAATTTTACTCGCGTGGCGGAGGTGGCGGCAACGGCGGTGATCGTTACGGCGGCGGTGACCGCTATGGAGGAGGCGGAGGCGACCGCTACGGAGGAGGCGGAGACCGCAAAGACAGCCGCCGCTACGATGATCGCCGGGACGACCGCAGCTACGACGATCGTCGCGAAGACCGTTCGCGCCGCCGCTCTCGCTCTCCGGACCGCCGTGACCGTGACCGTGGCAGCGCAGGACGCGACCGCAGCCGTTCGCCCCGCCAACGCAGCCGCTCACCGCGCCGCAGTGCGTCGCCGCCGCGTCGTGACTAAGTGGGCTACGGAGACGAACCAGGACAGAGCGACAGGGGAGCCACCAAAGTACCAGTACAAGCAGAGAGACCAGACCAGAACAGACGGATTTTGCGTATTTTATCTACTTGCGGACTTGTGGTCCTGAATTGTTGCTGTCAATCGAGAGAGTATTAACACGTGAACCAACCGGGGAACTTCAAAGAGAGAAACTGCTGGGAGACCCGGAGATCCTGACCAGAGTTGGCGGTTGTTTCGTGGGAGGTGCATTCAATTACGTCGTGTGTAGTGCGGATCCTGTGTTTGATGGTGCTGTTATTCGAGTCGTTGAGGTGGAGACAGCATGTGTGTGTTTCTGAACAGACGACTGATTGTCCTTCTGTCGCTATTTCTACAAAGCCTCGCAACGCAATGGTGAGGTGTTAACACTCCACTAGGTAAAGTATCCGGACAATGACGGTCTTTTGGCATCCCAACCACCATACACGCAGTTCTTAGAATAAAAGGCGCATCAACGGCATTTTGGTGCCAAACGAAACGGGAGCTCTAATGTCATGATTGATGGGGCCTGACATGGGATTTACACTAAGTCATCGCGCTTTTAATGGCCTTGGCTCAAGGCACGTGTAAATTATTGCAAAAATCTTAAGTCATCCACGGTTCTCCGCAAGAATACAGAGCAATTTTGAAGACACGATTCCACTAACGGCACTTAAGATGTGACAATGAGGAAGATGAAGAAGGCGATGACGCCAACCATGAGCCCGGCGCAGTAGAGCGAGCGCATGTCGCCGTCCATGTTCGAGTATCCGCGGCGTCGGTAGCACATTCCCCCAGCGTACACAATCGCGACAAGCAGAATGGCGCCACCCAGTCCAACGAAGATGCGGGTGACATTACTCCAAGAACTGTCGTCGGAATCGTCTTCTTCTTCGTGATGCCCATGGCCACTGCGGATAGGAATCGCCTCACTGGAAGATTCATCCTGGCAGCAGTCCAACTTGGCTCCCGTCACCGGATCCGGATTGCAGCAACCTCCATCCCATCCGCAGCAGTCCAGCCCAGCAGCACCACACTTAGCTTGACCCTGGCAAGAGTTCGCGTCGCTCGAGTGAGAATCACTGGATAAGAGTGCTGTCCGTATTTCGGACGAGCAGCAATCCAGCTTGACACCAGATCCAGAGCAGCAGCCACCAGGGACGCCACAGCAGTCAAGGTTGGCGGCCTCGCACACTGGTTCACCATAGCACTTCGCAGCGTCCTCAGTCTTCTCAGCAACCTTGTGCGTTGTATTGCTGATCACCGGGTGCTGGTTCTTGCAGCAACCCAACACAGTCCCTGAGATGGGGTCAGGCTCACAACAGCCATCGATGGTGTTGCAACAGTCCAATCCAAGCACAGCGCACTCATGTTCACCGAAGCAGGCGTTGCTCGGCAACAAAGCGGGGTCTTCCTGCGGACAGCAACCTAGTGC